GTCAGCCCTGTGAAGGAGACCATCCGTTACTGCTGGTGTTGGCAGAGAGCTGCAGGCTTGTTTTTATGCAGCTTAGACCATTCATGACAGCTTTGCATTAACTTAAAAAAAGACAATAAGCTGCATAGCAAAATAGCAAAATTAAATTTATTTTAAAACGTTAACAAAATCACTCTCAATACCCTTCCAAGAAGTACACAACAGAATTTCCTTAGCCTCATTTTAATGCAACAAAAGAGACAAAGAAAGAAAATTAGTTAGTTAGTCCCAGTCCCATGATAGATTCATGGGACAGTCACTACCAGGACTTCAGAGCCTCCTGATTGCCAGTGCACCTCTCCCTCCCCAGCCCATCTAGGCCTTCTGGCTGTGACAAAACTAGCAGCTGCTTGCAAAAAACAAGCTGAAGGACAGAGATAACAGCACCTGAATGCTACATAAACATCAGGATTGTGGTAGCTCTCTAATAATATAAACCAATTATGTTCTTCTGGCTCTGGTTTCCATCTTAAAAAGGATTAGTCATAGGGTTATGCAGAATAAGGGAATTAGCCTTTCACCTCTGAAAAATGTAAGTTCAAATATTAGTTGAGGTCATGAATGAAAATCAGCTTCTTCCACTCCAGCTTGTGGTTATATATTAGGAAATCACAACACAAATTGGCAGAACAGTCCCAGGAGAGGAATAGCAACAGCAGCTTGCGCTATACACAGAGTGTGTGTGTACATATATTGTATACAAAGTACATATATACATATAACCACTTACACTACAGAATGGGGAAGATGGAATAAGAGAGCATGTTTAGAGATAGGATGGCTTTGAAATGTTTTGAAATCCGACACTGAGTCCTAATCAAGAGATCTGACGTGGAGCTTTAGTCCTGTGATAACCCTTGGAATAATCTTCCCCAAGCAATCTTCCCCTTTAATCACCTCACACTGCAATACCTAGTCTAAGCTAGTCCTCAAAGCTCCTCTTCAATTTCAGCAGAAAGACATGCACAAGGTTATCTATTCCACCTACTTCCCACACCCATCCAATGATTACAGGACAATGAATGTTTACAACTCTTGGGTAGCTGATCTCGATTTCTCTCTCTCTCTTAGGTTGAGATGTACTCAACCTAAATCCCTTCCCACGCCACATCTCTGTTTTGTCTAATCTATTGATTAAAGATTCAAAAATGGGTGACTCCTTTCACTGAAAATTCACAGCAAAATTATCCTCTTATGCGCCATAGAAATTCAGTATGACTAAAACATCAATAAATTATTGAGACTGGGATGGCAGATCTCATTTTATGGGCAATTTCCAGCAGGTAAAAAGGGGTTGGAAAATTATGGACAACAAAATAACCTTCCTCTAACTAAGGCTTTGATTTCTACTTTAAAAGTATTAACATTGCATGGAAAAGATGAAACCCAGACAGAAAATTTTAATAAGTGATCTTCTGTTCCTACAGAAAAGACAGACCCTTCTTGATCAGAGAAGATACACTCTTTTTGTACAGGCTCATGACACCAGTGGACAAGAACACAGACTTTCATTTAAACAGTAGGCTCAAGTTGACTTAAAATTATAGACACATATTAAAAAACCCAAATTGTATAGAAATGAAAGAGGTATAAAAGGTATAAGACTCCAGCCCCTGCCATGGTGTGCACAGTGAGAACACTCAACTCAAACTGAGATAGTTAAAAGTAGGAACACTATTTAGAAACTGCATTTTAGCTCTAAGTGTCCCTTGGTTATGTAGAAATGTATGCTGAAATAACTAACATAGAGGAGACAAAATTTTTTTCTTCAGTGGAATACATGAAATTCAAGAGATTTTGCCAAAGGGATCCTCTGTTCTGAAATTTCATTTGTGCTTATGAAAAGTTTTGACTTCTGTGACCAGTTACAGATTCAGAAACTCAAATCAACAAATCACAGAGAACAAAGTGCTTGAATGTATCTCCAGGAAGCAGGCATTTTCTTCAGAATGAACAGGAAAAAAAAAAAAAAAAAAAAAAAAAAAAAAAAAAAAAAGACAAAAGAGTTTAGCCTCAGGCAGCAGAGCAATGCATGGAATATTTGATTGCTCCACCATTCAGGCAATTCCTTGTCTTATCCTGCAAAACAAATAGAGCTTGCCTTTAGTAAACTTTAGATTGATTTCAAAAAGAAACACAAGACATGGTTAATTTTCCTAGACATAGAAGAAAATTTCCCTAAAATTAAAAATATAAAGGTCTTAACAATCCAACTGTGAAGGATATATCTCTTCCTTTGAGATGGAGAGCTTTCTGCAACAATGAGTTATTTCATAGCAACTGCAACAATCAATAGGCTTAAACACCTATTTCACTTCCAAAGAGAATTTGCTTAATTGGAAATAAGGCTACTAAAAAGCTGAGTAAGATCATCCACAGATTGCTTAATGCATCTTAATCATTTACAAGCAAATAAGATTAACATTTATAATTTATCCTTTGACAGACAACACTAAATAAGAATTTCAATCTGTAATAAGAATTCCAATCTGTGTTACTGATACTAATGAAGAGAGTGGAAATTCAGAGCAGATAAAGAACATGCTCTTTACAGGTTGCTGAGGCAGGAAAGGTACCAGTTTTTTTCCTACCTGCTTGTTTTTCTGCTGTCCAATGCCAGTGCATCCACAAAAGTCAGACTCTTGTTCCAAAGCCAGAACGCTCACTCTGTTTCACATTTTGTGGCAGGCTCATACTTCAGGCCAAGCTCAGGCCATAGCTTTCTAATTTTTCTCTAAATCACTTGGTACACTTTTGGGAGTTATTAAATGAAGTGAGCAATGATACATAACAATTGTGTGTGACAGGGAGAAATACACTGTTCCTCTTGTGGGGACAAACTGCAAACCTGGATAATGCCAGGAGCAAAGCCTACCTTGAAAAGCCACATTTATGCTCAGGGGCAGTTTAAGCTTTTGACAAACAGTTAAAGATAAATCCTGTAGTAATGACAGACAACAAAATGGTACAGTTCTCCTGAAAGCACTTACACAGATTCTGGAGAGATGCCCAGAAAGAGCCTCAGGCATGAAAATAAATGATAATATGTGTAAGTTTCCCATAACAAGTCCATAAGTCTAGAGTAGTACATAGATAATGGGCAGTGAGAATAACATCTTTCTGAAAGGGGAAATTGGAACAGAGGCAGATAAAGGGAAACACTGAAACTCAGAAGTTATTCTTAAACTATTCTTACACATCATTGTTCATTAGTGAAAAATCCTCCTTTGCACTGATGAATACAGAAAATAGGCATTTCCTTGGATAGGCTACCTTTTCAACTTCTGGAGAAAGAAAAAGGAAAATCAAGTGAACTCTCACTTCTATCAAGAATAAGCCTGTCCTGTCAAGTTGCAGTTATTACTTTCCTATGTCAGAACTGCAAAATAACTATTTAGGAGTGATAATTCTCAGAAGAAGGTTCTTCTTTGGTCCAAGCCATGAAGCCGTGACAACTCCAGCTGTAGTTTGGAAAGGACCATGGTGCCTACATATTGCCTATATTAAACAAAAAGCATCTGTAGTAGGGTTGTTTTCTTTTTTTTAATCAGTGTAAATAAGACTGGCACAAAAATCCACACGCACGATTCCATGTTCACTCCGACCAGGACTACTTCTGTTTATCTAGGATTTTAAAATGAACAATAAACTATTTCTAAAAAAAAAAAAAAACACCACCACAAAGTAATCTTTAGGATTTTGATTACTCCAGTGCACGTTAAGCCTCAAAGAAGCAATGAGCCACAGTAAGTTATTTACCGTTAGAAAAGACAGAAACTTGTCCTGTTTTTCTAAACTAACACCACAAGGCAGGTTACCACAGGATCTAATTCATGAAAAACTGAGGGGCACACCTTCCTGTGAAAGCAGGACAACGATACAGCGTGACCTGGATGGCCTGAAAACAACGAGAAGTAGGGCACAAACCCCTCCCGAGTTACGTCTGCTGAGAGCAGCCCTAATTGCCGGCCCCCGCGGTGCGAGCGCGGTGTCACAGGGCCAGCGGCGGCCGTGCCACCCGCGGCCAGGCACGGCGACAGGCGGGCCGTGCCCTCCTCTGCCGCACGCATCCCGCTTATTTACTTCGCGCAAATGAGCACATGGCAGCTGTCACTTTGAGGCGCCCAAAGGAAACGTTTCAAGCGCAATTGCAGCGTGAAGCCCGTCGGTGCCCTTCTGTCTGCCCTGCAGCTTGGAAGGAAAATCCCGCGAAACGCGCCCGCTCCCGAAGCCGCCATCGGCGCGGGCACGTCCCGTCCGAAGCGCTCGCAGTTACCGCCGCACGGGCGCTGCCCTCACTCTCGACCTGACCGCTGTGCTCAAACGCGAGGCACAAGGCCACGGCCAAGGCAGGGTACGACCCCCTCAGATCTGCTGCCAGGCCGGCGGGAGGAGCGTGCCAGGAACACTCGTCTGGGGTACCGTGTGCCTGGCGGCGAGAGAGGCGGGGGGAGCGCTGGCCTTGCGCTGCCGGGAACACCGCGGTCCGAGCCGCGGGGCAGGAAAAAACAAACAAAACATCTCCCCAGAACCAAAACACAAACAAGCGCTCTCCCGGTGGCGTATGTTCGCGGCTGAGCCCTGAGGCAGGAGCAGTGCTTTGGGACAGGGTTTCTCCGCCGCCCCATCCTGTTCCCGCGGCTCTGCGGCCACGCAAGCTGTCACCGGGAATGGCCAAGCGCGGCTGTCCCCGCTACCCGCGGATGCTCCCCCGCCCCGGCTGCCCCCGCCGCTCCCGCTCCGCCGCTCCCGCCGGCCGCCGCCGCCGCCTCCTCCCTCCCTCCCTCGGCAGGCGGGGCTGGACCCGCCCCCGGGCTTCCCCCACCGCCCGGCAAGGGGAGGGGGCTCTGGCACCGCCCCATCCCCGCCCCTCCCGGTGGAGCAGCGCCCGGCGCGCCCCTTAAAGCCGTTCCCGCCCGCCCGCGCGGTCAGTCCGCGGGGCCGCCGCCGGTCACCGCGGGGAGGCGCCGGGACGGGGTGGCCGCGATGCTGGAGAACGGCTCCCTGAGGAACTGCTGTGACCCGGGCGGGCGCGGCCGCCTCGGCTTGGCGGAACGGGAGGCGGCGGCGGCGGGAGCTCCGCGGCCCGCCTGGGTGGTGCCGGTGCTGTCCAGCGTGCTGATCTTCACCACCGTGGTGGACATCCTGGGCAACCTGCTGGTCATCCTCTCCGTCTTCAAGAACCGCAAGCTTCGGAACTCAGGTAAGGGCTTGACCCCCGCACCCTGCCCCGGCGGTGGCAGGGAGCAGCGAGCGCCCGAGTCCCGCCGCTATCCTGGTGCTGGCTTCCACCTGACCTGAAGAGTCCAGCCCGCTTGTCGAGTCCGCTGAAGGCGGGGGACCAGAGCCCCCATCCATTGGTTCTTGCCCTGTAGTGTGTGCAGGGACCCCCAGGCGCTCAGTCACCCTTCCCAGCGCGCCGCCTCTGCGCTCCTCTCGGGCTCCGTCCTGCCCTCTGTCCGGGAACGCATGTCGTTCCGTGGTTCCTAATGAGGCATTATGTGGTCTTTATGGAGCTCCCGAAGAGGGGAATCGGTGCCATCCGGCGGCAAAAAGCGTGCCCGAAGCCGTCGGAGGAGTGAAGGAGGAGCTTTTAAAACTTGCTCAAGAGTCCTAAAAAACACGGTGCTGTGCATGCGTGGGGAAGCGGCTCAGCCCGCTCTCTGGAGCCCGCATCAGAGTACGCGGTAGTCTTCACGAAATCGCCTTCTTGTCTCCTCATCGCGTATCCTTCAACCAGAACGCAACAAATAAAGTGCGGTGTTTTCTTTGAGTGGTGTCTACAGTTTCTCCTTGTGTGTGCTAGAATGTTGCTCTGCGTTTTTTACTTGCTAAACGTACTGGCTTTATCTCCTCATCTCTGCCGGGCTGGTTCCAACGTGTTTCAAACTACAGAACTCTGTAGTTTCTCACCAGCTTCTCTGATTTGCTTCCTGGCCCTGATTCGCGCACGTCCCGCTGCGTGCGGATCCTACAGCCCCTCCGGCTTCCCCCGTCGATGGAGCCAATTATTCCCTGACAAGCAGGGAAGGGCACTCGGCTGGATGCTGGGTGTCGGTGCAGTGCCGAAATTGTGGTATATCTACTATAGTTCTTACAGTACTTAGCTGTTCCCGGAACTCATCATTCCTCCGAGACTCGAGTTCCCTCGTTTTCCATGCGCACGCAGGTCGGGGTAACCAAACTTTGCTGGGAGCTGGCAGGAGTCCGAAGCGCTGCGCTCCCCTCGCTCGGAGCCAGAGGGTTCTGCCATCGATCCTCTGTGTCAGCGGGTGCTCCCTGGCCCCCGGGAAGGAGGGAGAGCTGCTGGCTTGTTTCTCCTGGGGGTGGTGGGGGTGTTGGTTTGGGGTTTTTTAACCAGTGTCTCTTCCCAAGCGCTGTCGTGTCTCACGTGCGGTGATTAGAGCTCCTGCTAACGGGGAGCAGGCGCTCGCTCGCCCTTGCTTTAAATTAAATCGTACTTAGGGGCAAAAGCAGTTTAAGGAGGGGTAACTCTTGCGCTCCCCAGTCGCTGCACGTCTAGCTGCAGGCGGGAGGTGCCGGCAGGTCCCGTTTGCACGGGGCTGAGAGATAACACCCCCCGAGGAGCACCGAACCTGAGAACGTCTGGAAGGGTTTGACTGAGCGAGGGAAGACATGGGGTGGTCGCTGCTAGTCCGTGCGCTTGTGCTTGGGCGGTCCGTCCCAGAGGACCGCGCCGAGAGAAGCAGAACCGTGCCGGGGCCGGTAGTGCCGGCACGTCCCGGAGCCGGAGCCCTGCGTGCCCTGAGCGGGACCGCGGCCGCCGAGCAGCGCCGGGCTCTGCCCCGGGTGAGCGGGGCTGGGCTGGGCCGGGTCGGTCCGGGCTGGGCGGGGCACTGAGTCCCGCGGGACCCGCCGTGACTCGCCGGCGCTCTCCCGGCCCTCCCGGCCGGAGGAAGGCGAGTCCCCGAAGGATTCGCGCCTGGACTCCGGGGGCAGGAAGCGCCCAGGGAACAGGCTCTCGCTGGAGGGGGCGGCCGGCCCGAGGCATCAGATCCCGTCCGGGGGGAGGAAGAGAGGGACTCTCTTCTAAAACATTCCCTTTAACCAGACAACAGCAAAGGGAAGTTTGGAAGGGAAGAGAGTGATGCCCGGAAGAGTAAGTTTCAAGATACTGATCAAACTACTCTGTGGCACTCTGGGACTGTTGGGGAAAAAAACAACCCCCAAAACCAAAAAAAAAAAAAAAAAAAAAAAAAAAAAACCCCAAACCTAGTCGCTTTACCTAGTTCAAATACCTGCTAATTGATCTCCTTCTAGGATAATCCTTAATGTGATACCGCTGACCCTGTCCCAAAGATCTCTTTAGCTTTGATAAGTACAGTGAAAAACAGCAGGGAATTCTGTCTGCATAATCTTCATAAGGTTAAATACCTTTTAAATCGCCAGTTCTTAGTTTTACATCAGGCAGACGTGACTCTTGGAGGTGAAACTGAAAGGGCATAGTTTGGTAAATGTCTACAGAAGTCTTTTCAGGAAAAATTTCTTGGGGAGGAAGAGGACTGGAAACTGATGTGGGTGGAGTGATAGAGGGGCTGGGAAAGTGGCAGACAGCTAAGGCAGTACTTGGGAGCCCTTAGCCTCTGACAAAGAAAGATGGAAAAGCAGGTGGACTTGCAGGTTTCTATTCTGAGCAAACAAGAAACGACGTGTTTGTACCTGCAAGGGGAGTGAATGCAGTAGAAAGTGAAATGGTGAGGAAAAACGGCATGAAAGGAGTTAGACCTTGTCAGAGAAGGAAAAGATGAAGTTAGGGGAATGGTTATGACAGGAAGACATCTAGATGATCAAAGGAAAAAGGAAGAGCTATACATCATGAGCACTAGGTTCCCTTTAAAGAAGTTAGTGAGAGATTTTTCTTGGATGAGACTTTGGGACTTCAAATAAGTCACAGGCATACAAGGAATAAATTAACCAGCTTTGCCTACTTCTGTGGCACAAGAAGTAATCATACCTTCAGAAAGCAATACAGGTCTTTAGCAGTTTTTCCAGGATTTATCAACACTATTCTGTTCTAGATTTCACAGAGAGATCTGATAACTGGAAAGAATGTAGTTATGCATCACTGTCCTTAAAGCATGACCAAAAGTAAATCTATTCTAATGCTGTTATATAATGGGAGGTGCAAGAATGGAGTGAAATAAAATGACCTATTAGCCATTGGTCTTGGACCCTATTATGTTCAGCAGGAGAGAAATAAAGAATAGATAGGATTGGTGTTTCTGGACATTGCTCATTCACTCCTCAAACATGGGAATTTTGCCAGCCTTACAACAGAATGATTGTTTCAGATCACACAGAAGCCTCTTTCCAACATTTAAATTTGGTTTTGGGGAAAATCTGTGAAGACTCTTCCAAGTAATGCATAGCATAATTGGTATGAATCAACATGCTTGTCTTACATAACTGCACCCAGTCTTTCTGTGAGAGGCTGAGCAACTTCTGATCTCTGAAAGTGATTTAATTTACACAAATTAATGTTTTTATCAGTTCTAATTTGGGAAGAGAGCAATTTCATCTAACACACTGCAAAATTAAATAAAACTTTGTATGTGGAAATAATAAAATTAAATCAGCTTGCCTTTCTATTTGAAATGTCAAATGTGTTCTGAATTTTCAAAAACAATTATTGATTTTGTGTGTCTTCAATTAAACATGCCCAGTTGATGGCAGCTTTTACATTGCTGAACTTTTGAAGTGTTAAAGTTTACATGAGCTCAACAACCAGTGCTGGATGATCAAGTATCCTGAATGTGCATCAAGTAAATCAAAGCCACTAGATGCTTTTAAGAATTTTAAAGTTACTTTTGTACAGCTGTAGCTATAAATGTAGCATTATAGGCTGGGGTAAGAACCTGGTAGGAAGCACTCTAGAAGTGGGAACCAGCAAGGCATCTCCCAGAGGACAGAGATAAAGCAAACCATTTATACTTCATTGGCCCTAAAGCCAGTATGAAATCAGTGAGAAGTGAGAATTAGGCACATTAACTCAATATCATTTCAAATAGTAATGAGGGCTTGGGACCCTTTGACTTTTGGCAGAATATTAATATTAACTTTGGTACGTTGCCAAATAATGCATTAGTGGAAAGTGGTATTTTTAGTGCATTTTGTCAGCCCTCCTCACCCTCTCCACTATTTTCCTTTCTATATATATCAGCTAACACAGCACAGTGAGACTCCAATTTCCATTTGAATGTCAAGGTGCTGTTGCAACACAAATTAAATCAAAACTCATGTTTCTTTTACCTATAAGAGCATGGGTGAATTCGCATGTTTAGTTCTGTCTAATGTGTATGTGGCTCTAGAGATGGACAATGCTTCTCATATGTACATCTGTACAAAATAAATAATCCTGCATGTAGAATTTTAATATTGATACTTATCCATCTACTAAATAAACTTGTTCAGCAATATAAGCAAGTCTTGTAGTATTTTCTCATGCTCTTTCCCTTTCCATAGCCTTCACTCCACATCTCTGTGATATAGCTGGAGGTAAGTTATCCCCACTGTTAAATGCTATTTTCAGTTATTCTTCGTCTCTTTGGCCACATCCGTTCTCTTTCCCTCCTTTATTCCCCTGCTATTATTTTTCCTGTCACTGGAATACAGGACAATTGTTTCCTGTGATGGAATCCATCTCTTACAAAACGACAGTGGAGAAACCAGTTTCTGAAAACACTTGGAAAAATTGTCCTTTAATACCAGCAGTGACGCTGACAAGAACATATTTTGATGAGCAGATCATGAGATCCCATCTGATGGTTTCAGCTTTTGAACTCCTTACTCTTTGAACCCTGGATCCACAGAATTCTTAGCTCCGGGACTGGGTGTGTTTGGCTTTCATATTCTCTCTCACATTCTGCTTAAAGGTGCTCAATGCTAATAAATTGATGGGAACGTATCTTCAACAGTCACAAAAGTTCATTGAACCCAACACTTAGAATAATGGTCTTCTATCTCTTACCATGATTCAAACTCATTTTTACTTTATTTTACCTTTGTGATTATCAGTTGCTTACTTAGAGTGGATATCTTTATTTGTAGAATTACAATTATAATTTCATTTGAGTGGATTGTTTCTCCACCTGTTGAGAACTTTTCTGCAATATTAATGGGCAGTAAACAAATGTTTACCCCTCAACCTTTTTTTTTTTTTCCATAGTAGACAAGTAAATACTT